CCCCCCCCCCCCCCCCCCCCCCAGGCTTTGAACAGATTTTGCCGTGGTGGTTCCCAACTCTGGTCCTTGAGGAACACCATGCTGAGCGGAGAAACGACTAAAACATGCAGGACGGTGTTCCTCAAGGACGAGTGTTGGGAACCACTGGCTTATACAATGCTGTGGCTAATTTATGGATTTATTTTTTTGCCGTCTAACGAGCTTCAAGCCGCCAAAGCGTTTAGCCTCGTCACACCCGGCACTCGCATAGCTCGTGGGTGGGTGTGTTTCAGTGAGACTACTTGTATAAAGATAAAAAAATAAAATCTGATTAATGAAACGGGGGGGGGGGGGGGGGGGGTGTACGCCCCTGCATGTGCTGCCAGTTGATCCCGACAGCACAAGCTTGCGCAGGAGGTCTATGAAGACAGCGATCAACGACTTCCTGGCAGGCTACTGTATTTTATTTTATTTAACCAGCCATGTTACAGGCACTGTTAAAACAATAAATAAAAATGTACGTATTTGCGCATGTTACCAGTACGTATTTAACTAAAAGGTTAAAAACGTTCTGTGTAAATATCTCGTTACAACGTGGACACCTGCGGGTTACAGACAAGCGTGACCTACACATGTACTTTTTTATTTAGTGGGCGCAGCTTATATTTGGGTGCACTCAATAGTCTGGAAATTACGGTACTGTGGCTGTAATTTGACCACATGACAGTTATTGGAAACATTGAACCGCCGTTTACAGCTCTTCACACATTCTGAGGTCTCATCTAAAACAAAACTAGAGTTAAACTATAAAATATTGTATTTCAGCCTCAGCTAGTGTCTTCATCACGACTCCAACTGTTATATTCCTCTCACAATGACATAATTATGTAACTGGCTGCAAAACTTAACAGTCTAATTATAGTTTCCCGCTCGGTGTCGTCACTGAGGAAACACTTCAGGTACTCCACAAGAGTCTTGTGAGCGCCAAGACATGAAATAAAAAGCGAACAGTAACTCCTGCTGCTGAAACCGACGTGGCTCTGAGACACTCACATGTTGTCTTGGATGAAGCTCTTGATTTTGTTGTTGGTAAATTTGTCCTCGCCGAATTTCACCGAGCCGTCTTCAAACTTATTGTTGAGACGTTGTGGACGGAACAGGATGACGCCCCTGAAAACCAAGAGAGGAAATATTCATATCTTGCATGTATCAAACACCAAATGTTCAGTAGTTTCCTCAAAAAGTAACATATACTTTATGTGTATAGTTACTTGTTGCAGTCAGTGCAGTCATGTAAGAGAGATTTTAGGAACTTGCATATCTGGTTTTACAATTACTTCCATCTAAAGTGTAAAAAAAAACAATTTTTTTTAAATAAAGCTTAAATTCATTTGTTCCGTTGTAGATTTGACGTGTTTGGGATCATTGTCTTTTTACATCATGTCCCGTTTTGTGCCAGCTGGCAGACAGACGGCTTCATGTTTGAGCAATTTGGTTCGCAGGAGGATTCATGTTGACTCAATGACCACAAGGAGACCAAACAATCAGCCCTCCATCACCCTGCTCGACAGCTGACGTGACGCGTTTGTGCCAGTATGCTGCATGTAGATTTGACTATTTTAGATACTAGGTAAAGATCAGACCATTTTTATTGTTCTGATGTATAAAATCCTAAAACTTAAAAGTGTCTGCACTTCTTATCCCCATGACTGTAGGAATCTGAATTTAAGGGCAACGCCAAAAGAACTCACTCTTCATCGATGTTGTGACTCTTGAGGAGGTCTTCAGAGTTGGTGTGGGCAAAGCGATAGTTATCCCTCAAGGCGCTGGCTGCTTTCTGGAATTCAGCCTGTGCTGTGCTCTTATCATCAGCAAAGAACCCTGGGAAGGACAAAAGGATGCAGATCACACCAGCACTACAGTGACGCCTGCACCGTGTTGTACACCAAGATTCTGTTATTTAGCTCTAATGCATTTTATTTTCACATCGTCAAGAGAAAAAGCTACTAAAATTAGAAACTTCGCTCACCAATGACACTTGCATCTTTATCTGCAACAAACTTCTCAAAGTCGGCATCGGTCTTGAGCTCCACTGAAGCTGGGCCAGCTTGCTTTTTCAGAAAACTAACAATCCCATCTTCAGGGAGAAATAATAAAAAAAACAACGCAGACAAAAGGAACAGTAGACATTTAGAAGGATTTATATTATAAAGTGTCAGAAATAAGCAGACAAAAACTGCATTTGTCATCTCAGAAAAGTGTAAAGTACCTGCAGATCTGGGACCATCATAAGGACCAGACTCCTCTCCGTCCCTAAAGATCTTCAGGGTGGGGTATCCACTCACACCATATTTGCTGCATGTGTTGCTGTTGGCTGTGCAATCAACCTAAAGAATAGAAAGAAGAAAATGGATACCTTTAAGCTCGACTGTTCGGGGCACAAAGCGACTTAAGGTTTTGCGAACTGAACTTCGGATCTACCTTAGCAAGAGCGACGATGCCTTTCAGACGTGTGGCTGCTGCCTCGTACTCAGGTGCGAGTCGTTTACAATGACCACACCTAGAATAAGGATTGAACCAGTCAAACAGGAGAATAAGTTACACGTCAGATTAAAGCATGGTGAAGGACCTGGGGGGGCTGCTCATTTTACAGTGTGAAATTTGATACTTAAGATAAAATCATTTAGGAGGGTTTAATAAACGATTGGACAAAAACCACTAAACTGTTAATATTTAGTTTACATGCTTTTCATTTGTGGAGTTTTCACTCAGAATAGCAGTTTTCTTAAAAATTTAAAGTTAGTGTCACTTGTTTATCTGCACATGACGTCATCCACAAGTTTATTACCATAATTGCAAAAATTGACATCCGATTATTATTGGATGCCATTTTACCTTTAAAATGTTTCATTTTATTCAAGTTTAACGCAGTGGTTAACACGTCACTTCCCATGGACCAATCAGAGATGGACACCAAAACTTGATCAGCCAATCAGAGAGTTCTAACTGAAGGACACGCCCCTCAACTTCCTTATAGCGTACAGTGTGCACACGAAAAGATTCCCAACATTTAAAAACGCCAGCAACTTCACAGCTTTAAGATGTAAAGGTTCTTGTACTGGTAAATTATGAGAACTCTCAACTACCAGTTTAAATTAAAAACCGCAATCAGAACGAAAAGTTAGCTTGTCCGTTTCCGCCTCCAGCTAACATGCTAACAATTGGTATCGGGCCAAAAAGACGAATTGTTTTGATTCGTTTAAGTAAAACGAACTCGATACGATGCAAATGGAGCAAAAAAGCCTAAAAAAAATGCAAGTGACAAACAATATATAAATCACACAGGGAATCTAAGTTCACTTACATGTAAACAGTTCTGCAAACGGAATGCTAGCCTGTAAAACGCTGTAGCGTTTATCTTAAACATGGCTACGCGAACACATTCTCGGTAGAAACACGAAGGACTCACCAAGGTGCAAAAAACTCCACCAGGATGAAATCGTGGCTTCCAATCCTGGTTTCGAAATCGTCATCCGTGAACTCCAGAACATCACTGGCCCGGGAGAACCCGGCGAGAGCCACTAAAAAGATCAGCCTCAACATGGCACACTGAGCTGGTTCTTCACTTCAATTACCCACAAGCTGTTTGGATTGTAGACGTTAACCGTGGCTGCCCCGTCTCGGTTCTTTGTAGCAGCTGAATGCCAAGGCTGCAGGACTCTCGAACAGGGCCGAAGCTGACTACCGTAGAGAAAGAGAAAAGCGGACGGAGGCGGTGAAGATGTTCACAGCCAGCGGGACTTTTTCCGCGTCATCACAGTGTGGCAGCGTCTCATTGGTCAGTTTGCCACGTCACTCCAAGACCATTAGCCAATGAGAAGCCAGACTTTAAAACGTCATCATGTTTGAACCAATCAAAAGCCGCCAAAAATCAAAGCTCCTGTCTCACATACGGAAGAGGATCTCCTGTTGCCTGAAGTCATCCAAAAGGTGCGAAAACCTGGATGTTTGCGTAGATGTGGAGATTTGATTCCCAGGATCTTATCTTAGTATAAGAATTCATGACATGCAAAAGATAACATTGACAGTTTATAAAAGTGCCATTTTTTTTAAATTTCCCCCGTGGCTCAAGACTAACCTATATAAATAAAGGTTGAATGAATGAATGAATGGCAAACTGTCATTTAATCAAAATTACCGCCCAAAGGTATTTATATAGCAACATTTAAAGTAAAAAAAAACAAAACACATTTTCTTTAGTAATGACAGGTATGGATTATTTGCTTTGAGTCATCATTCAGCAGTTTCTAGTAAAAACTGTTAGTTCCTAACAGAGATTGTAGAATGTGGCAAACACAAGTTAATTAAACTGCATTTTTAGTGTTTATGACAATAATGTTTTTAGTGTGTTTGCTCCAGACTGTTCTAAAAGCTGATGATGAAGAGTTCCTAACCGTGACATGTGCCTGTTGTGGAAAACCATAAGCCACCAGGATTTTTTGCACCGCAGCTTTTAGTAACATGCCTGATGCCTCTCTCATAAATTAAAGGTCACCACTGAACTTGTTCCTTCCTGTGACGTCCAAACTCAGGTCTGACATTTCAGTCTTCATGCCCAGCTAAAACTGATGTAACAGTTGACATATTATTCAGCATTGTCCACTAGCTATGATTTTTAATTGATTTAGTTATTTATTATTTTGATAGCCTGAGTTTTAATTAAACATGTTTTTAAAATGAACAGTTGTTTAAAAGCGAGTCATCTTTCAGTCTAAGGTTTTAGGTACAGAAGATACCTAAAACATGAGACAAAAACAAGAGAATAGGTAATAATACTCACCACTAGGTACTGGTATCTCCTATAAAATAAGATACAATAAACAACAACAAACAAAATATTACGTTGTTTTGTACAACTAAGCAGCAAACAGGATCAGCGTTAGTATTACCACGATGCAGTATCTTTTAAAAAAAGAACAGCAATTAATAAATATAACCATCTACTGCACAACAGTCTCATTCAGTTCATGAATGTTTATTAAGCTGTCATGTTGCACTGTTCTCCTGTTTGTTTGTTTTTGTTCTGAATTATTATGAAACCATGGCAACACCTTTATCTTTTCCTGTTTTAGTCGTCCGGTTGTAGATTCGATGCCGTGTTTGGGATCATTGTCCTGTTTCATGACCCATTTCGTCCAGCTGTTGGACAGGCAGCTTCATATATGACTTTAAAATCCTATAGAGGAGTTCATTTTCCACTAAATGACTGCAAGGGGCAGGTCCTGTGTCTGCAAAACAAGCCCCGATTATCATACCTCCACTGTTGTGCTTAACAGGTGGTTTGAAGGATTTGTGCTGATCTAAACATCTTAGTTTTAATTTCGTCTGAACATTGTTCCAGAAGAAGAGTTTTGTTTTTTAAACTTTAGTTTGTTTAAGAGGAAAAAAAAGAGGCTTTTTCTTGACGATGCTCCCCTCCACCCTTTCCAAACACAAGACATTTGTTTAGTCTTTTATCCAGTTGTACTAGGATATAGCTCTGGTTTCTTGTTCTCTAGAAGCGTCACACAGTCCGATTACGGTTGACTTTACTGAGAAGTCGACTCTCGGCTGTCTCTGGTTGTAAAAGTTGGACCCCAACACCTCCAGGTCTCCGTCACAGGCGGATGCAGCAGCAGTCGATCCTTTAAGGTTATTGCTGATGTGAAAGATTTCAAACTGCATGTTGGACATCTCCAGCAGCCGGTGTGTGTTAGGAGCCACCAGATGGAGCTCTCTGACTGGACTCAGGGCAACAAGTTACTGCTCCAACCTGGACTGATGAGCAGCAAAGCACAAAAGCAAAAATCACCTGAAGGACTCGAGTGTGAAGAAGAAAAATGTGAATTTAGTTTGAAGCTAAACAGATGTCCCAAAACTTAAATACTACTAATAAACATTTAGCCATATTTTAAAGAGCGAGTTACTGATTGGTGGTGAAACTATGTCCATCCAAGAGATATTAAATGACTGCTTTAGGTTTTTGATTTCAATTTATTTATTTTTTGCTTCCAACAGTTTGCACTTCATTAAGTGATTGGATGTTAATTTCACTAAATAAATAATTGTGTTGGAAAAGAGCAATAGTCCTCATCTTTGTTTACAACTAAATTCTGTGATTGGTTACAGAAATTCGCACATTAGTTTAAAATAACTGATTGTTTTCATATGATCCTACCTCCAACTTTTACTTTAACTCTCCACCGCTCAATTTCCTCCCACGAAACGACTTGACCTCTGTCGACTCTGATCCTTGACCTTTAGTTTGGACCTGGCATCTCTGATTCCATCGTTCTCAGACCGTGTTTACATCCAGCAGTTATTTTACTGACTCGGTGTCTGACACACGCTGCTCCCGTCCTAAGTGCTTGTCAATATTCAAATGTAAAGAAACGACCCATGTTGTGGCAATTGTTGGCAACAAAACGTGATTCTGCTGATTTTGCTAATTTATTACAAATTATTCGGTAGACCTTTAGTGATGCATGTTTAGCCGTTATTTCTGATGATGCACATACAAAAAAAAAATCAAACCAAGAGCATTGACTGTGTATTTTAACAGCTTTAACAGTGTTCCTAAAATATAAAAACTTAAAAGTTTCATAGTGAAGTCTCATTTTAAACAAAGATGCAGAGTCTGGGCTCTCGAAAGAGCTTTAAGATGTCTTGTTGGACGTATCAAATGTTAAACACATTTGGGTTTGTGTTAATTACAGTGTCTGTAAGGTCTCGACGCTGACCTCATATGTTGCTTACGAACTTTTTAACTGTTCGGTCTCAGTGGGTGAAGGTCAACGGGGTTCTCTCTGATCTCCTTCTGTCCTCTACTGGTTCCCCTCAGGGCTGCGTTCTTTCTTTTTAACATACAAACGATTGTCTCAGACATTTCCCACAGTGTCACACCTTAAAGTTTGCCATGACTCCGTCATCCTGTCCCTTCTCAGCAGCGATGCCCCAGACCCTGGGCCTGTGGTCGGGACTTCACTGAATGGTGCGAGTCTTCCTTTTTAAATTAAATGTTTCGAAGACAAAGGAGATGCTCATTGGTTTTAGAAAAAAAACTTTTCAGTTGCAGCTCCTGTGGTCATTAACGGTGAAGCTGCTGAGGTGGTGCAGGAACTGTTCTTGATGACAAACTGACCTTTGACCTCCATGCAAATTCACTTTGTAAGAAGGGCCATCAGAAGCTTCGTGGTTTAAATGTTGATTCTACTTTCATGAGAATGTTTTATTGAGTCTCTTAACTTTACCTGCATCTGTTGGTTTGGATCGTTAACATGTAAAAACGGGAATAAACTCTTGGGGATCGTCAAGATGTGCAACAGAACTGCTGGCATAGCCCTACAGAACCTCCCTGACCTACACAAGGCGAGGTCAGTGAACAAGGCCAGGCTCATTCTGGCAGATCCTGATCACCACTCCATGGTGAGTTCAGGTTGCTGCAGGTATCTGAATGAACAGACTGAACTCGTTCACCCCTGTAGCGATCAGACTTCTCAACGAACAGAGATGACTTCCTGTTATTTTAATGTCTCAGTGTCTTGTCTAATATGGATGTTTCATGTGTTTACTGACTGTGAAACAAATTGCTCCCTGGGGATAATAAAGATTCTTGAACTTGAACCAGTGGCAAGATTTGATGCGACAAAAATCAGATAAAAAAACAATAATAATCTGAAAATTCTTTTATTAAATGTCCCAATGTAAGTAAAAAATGATGAAGATAAAAGGATGTGTTCAAGGTTCACCACCTGTTTATCTCCTTCATTACATTTATCCAGTCCAGCACCAAGAACATAAACTACCCTTTAATTTTTTAAGGTGTCTGGATGTTTTGGAGTTAAATGTTGATGGATGAGTCAATTATAATACAACATCTGTAAAATATAAAACATGAGGTCCAACGGTGCTTTGTTATTTACAACAGAAAATAAAGACACTTTATATGTAAAGAACTTACTTTAGTAGGAAAAGTTCACCTTTTTTTTTTTATTCTTTACTTTTTATTGCTCGTTGTCCAAGTAAAATGTGCAGTGATAATAGTTTTGTGGACACAGTTAGCAAAATATCTCACGAATCATGGAAGATTTTAATGAAACTGTCAGAAATTATTACACGGATGTACATCTACAACTGGTTAAAGTTTTAGACTCAGCTAAAAATGGCCACCACAGCAAAGCAGTTAGAAAACTAAACAAAACAACAACAAAAGTCCATAACTTAATTTTACAGATCATGAGCTGAAATTTGGTGTGGTAGTAGCTGAGCATCATCCTCAGCACATACTCTGGTGTGAAAGGTGGTGGGCGACATGAATGTCTTCAAGAAATGCCAGGCCTTTGATGTGTCATCACCTCAGAAAGTCCATCAATGCTTCTCACGGTGACACATTTCTGGTCCCCAGGGGTTCCCAACTCTGGTCCTTGAGGAACACCATCCTGCATGTTTTAGTTGTTTCTCTGCTCTGAAACACCTGATTTTAATTAATGGGTGATGAACAGGCTTCTGCATAACATGAGTAAGTAATTACATCACTGAATCAGGTGTGTTGGAGCAGGGAAACAACTAAAACATGCAGGACGGTGTTCCTCAAGGACCAGGGTTGGGAACCACCACTTTAAACTCGGCCTCTCTCTTCGGTCTTTTTGCTGTAATTATGGAAATGACGCCCAACAGCTACGATTCAAGAACTAAATGAGTTCAGAGCACCCATTGTGTGTTTAGTCGGGACACGTCTGTGTGCAGATCTGACTGAAGTGTGTATTTGTGCATGTGTGTGTGTGTGTGTGTGTGCGTGTGCGCTGGAAGTGATCTGCAGAAACCAACGCTGTAGCGATTCATTGAAACCAGAACATCATTCGATGTGCAGCACACGTTGGCGCTGGAGATCTTTCTGTACCCACAAAGCTCCTTCCCTCCCCCATCGTAGCCCCATTGCTTCTGTGAAGTGGTTGCCATGACAACCCGCCTGCACTGCAGCCATAAATGGCACAAGAAGAAGAAGAAAGGAGACATCCATAGCGTTGCACTTTGACATGTTCTGTCTACTGGTGGGCTCAGAGTGAGGGAGGAGGAGAAACCCGGTGTATTTAGGCCATCAGAACCTAGAGACTCTGACGTCTTACGGCCCACAGCACCTACACATGGGCATCTCTGCGGACTCCTCTAAACAGCGAACGCCTTGTTGTTCCGTCAGACGACAGAAAATCTTTTGATTGTTTTCATCACAACAGAAAAAATGTCCATTCATCCACAGTCCCTGCACAGCAAACACTGACGTCCTTACACTTTTAAATCACACACTCGACGTTCTGAATGTTCACCACACAATCTGACTTATAAGAAAAGGTTAACTTCATGTAAATAAGTTTTAAAATAAAACCCTCAAATTAAAACCCTCAAAACTAAAGGCCTAGCATTTCTTGAAGGCGTATCACCCGCCAAGAGACAAAGTTATAACTAAACCTTTTCAATGATGTGCACTCATGGGATATTAGATCTTGTGTGGGCTGTTAAGAGATGATGCTCAGCTACTACCACATCAAATTTTAACTATCTGCTAAATTGATTTATAGCCAGTTTTGTGTTGGCTAAGGTTGTACCCGAGCACTGGTGGCCATCTTTAAACGAGCTTACAGTAGTCCCTCGCTACTTCACGGCTTGACTTTCGTGGACTCGCTCTTTTGTGGTTTTTCATCGATTGTCAACTTTAATATTACTCACGTGATTGGGACGAGATAAAAAAAAAGTAAAAATAAAATAAAATAAGCCTACACTGTAACGCCAGTCAAAAAGAACTACACTACCCAGAAGCCAACAGTGCTTCCAGCCACTGCTTTCTGCTGAAATGGAGGGAAAGTTTAGCAACGCAAAGTCAGAAGTAACGATCGATCTCTGAAGCTCACAGAACTGGCAGGAAAGTCACAAATAATCCTGAAGCTCAGTTATGCACGTGCACATCGACCTGGACGGGGCGGTGGGCTTCGTCGCTGCAGCGTAGGTCTGCAGAACCGGAACCGAGCCCAACTGGAACAGAGCTGCTGGTCTGCAGAGTAAAATTTTTGCAGTACTGTACAGTATACACGCTTGTTGTTAAAATGACGTAGGTTTACGAGTTCAGAACATTGTAAGAGTGTGGGATGGGTTTATATAAATACTAAAATAAATATAGCGTTCCTACTTCACGGTTTTTCACCCATCGCGGTGGTGTCTGGAACGTAACCCCCGCGATAATCGAGGGACTACTGTACTCCAAAAATTAAACACATTTTATTTATGCCTCTAAGTAAAGACGGTCATATGGCAACAACGATCTTCATCCTGATCTGAAAGCTTAGTTACCATGGTTACCTAAAGCTGAGGACAAAAATCCCTTGGACATTGAAAAGCCCAAACAGAACCGTTAAGAATGAGACGGAGGAGGTGGTTCTGTTAAATAGATGGCTTCTTTAATAAAAGACACTACAGGCAGACATTCTGCTGCAGCTCAAATCGTATTGCTTGAGGAGCTCACGGTACAGAGCCCAACTCCGTCAGTGCGTTGGGACATTTTAATGCCATGAACACGAGTCTTCACAGTTCAGTCAGAACATCTACATTCAAATGTTTGAAAATAAACTATGTACACACAATCCACAACGGAGAGCATAGCACAGCTGGATGAACTACACAAGCACCAGAAAACAGGCCGTCGGCACACAGGAGGGACAGAAACGGGCCGAGGTCGGGACATGCAGCAGGAAGGGGGTGTGCTGGGTTGAGGAGTGGATTGGGGGCAAAGCCAGAGATAATCTTTGGCCATGCAGATTGAGATCTTTGCTCCATTATGACATCTCCCCACTATTCCCACAGCCTGCTGCTGTTTTAGAGCAAAACGAGAACCTGATCTTGGAGCATGGTTTCATATTCTGCTTTGGGCTAAACGTAGCCAAGTTCATGGACTCTAACTTTGTTTAGTTACATATAACATCTATTGATTAAATTATTGAGTATATAGAGGGGCAGGGGGGGGGGGGGGGGCTGATAAGATAGGACAGGTGTAGAGATAAATGAGGCAAGGACAGATATCTAGAATATTTAAGGGCGTTGAGCAGAGTGTTTTTGCACGTGTACGTGCCCAGAAGTCTGTGTGTAGAGATGAGGGACCGGAGTCTACTTGAACTGCTTGACAGGTGGGGGCACCTTGATGTCCTGGCCTCTCTCCAGCTTCTTCTCACACTCAATGAGGTAGTTGACGCCATCAACCACTGTCTGCACCAGCTGGACCTGAGAGAGGAACACATCACACTTAGCACGGTCATCCATTAATTAAAACAGACGTTAGTACGACGTAAAGACCGTTACGTTGGTGCTTGAAGCACTTTTTACTGCGCACAACATGTGAGGCAGAGGTCAGGGCTGCAGTCAGAGACAGCAGATAAGAAGAAATCTGCAACCCTGAATCGATACGAGATTATGGCTAGTGCAGAGATTACCGGATACAAACAGATCCCATGAACAAATTGTTTCGTCCTCAAGTTTTAGAAACCAAAAAGATGTTTAGACTACGACACAGACTCATAAAGGAGGACCTACCTGGTGACGTTTATAAAAACTAGGCTCAAATGTAAAAGGAAGCAAACACAAACCTTCTTATTTTAGTTTTAATATTTAATCTGCTCCAACTAAACTGTCCTTTCAAGCAGCTTCTGCTTTTATAATCAACCTTTATCTTTCCACCCTCATTCCTCAGCTCACTGCCCCACCCTGGGACTGCTCCCCTGAGACGTGAATGACCCCGCAGCACTGAACCCACTCGAACATTACAACATACAGAGTCACACAATGTTATGTAACTGGGGTGGGGGGCAGTTTTCACTTTGTATCCCACTCTGTTCACTGAATCTCATCTGCACTGCCTGTGAACAACGTGACGACAGAAAACAGCTCTACTGTCCCCTCGGACTGAAGAAGTCCTTTGGATGAAGGACGAAACGTCTCGTAATAAAAAAATAAAAAGAAAAAAGAAAGTCCAGCTGACCCGACCCCTCTGATGATTGCAAGAGGGGGCCTCAGGCCTGGCTTGAAAGTAATTTGTGAAAGAAATTAAAATAAAACTACAGATAAATAGTAAACCGGTTCTGCCAAGATGGATTTTATTCACTTATTATAGTGCTGTCAAAAACCTTCTGGAGTTACTTTTAAGATGAAAGTAAATAAAATAGTCATGACATGAGATATATTGTGGGACGTTACAATAAAACTGTCTCCAAGAAGCACCAGTCAACTTTAGTTCACCATTCAAGCTTCCTGTCCATATCTGGACAACAGGAACTTAAAAGTCAGGATGACACGCTGAACGTTACTGCGCAGAAAATCTTTTTAAAAGCCTCGTAAAAGTATGGCAATAATAAAATGATCAAAAACTAAAAGTGGGAGCATTTAAACATCCATCGCTCTTGATCAGTTTTAAGAGCTTCAATTTAAACCAAAATGAGACAAGTTAGACGAGAATTTTCTTTTCCAACAAACTCGGCTCCTGTTCCTGTTTCCGTGGACTTTCTACTGGTTTCTCTACCTCAGAATGTCCCAGGCGGTCCAGGTTGGAGATGTCGAACGTTCCACCCACAGCCGCAGTGTCCACACCGCCGGTCCCTCGCTTTTGCAGACGCAGGTTATCTAGGATCTTACTGAAACGGGGATCCTGCAAGGTAAGGGGGGGGGGGGGTCAATTTAAACGGTGTCAAACACTAATGATTAACAATGATGTTGTTTTATCTTTCAGATATTTATCACCAGGAACTAATAAAACTAAATCTCACAAAGACATGAGCATGACCTTTAAAGCTCTCGAAAGATATTTGACATAAATGTTTAATGACCTAGAAACAAAAAACAAGTTTGTCTTTGTGTCTTTACAGGAACTTTGTATTGATTTCCATTCATTTTATAATCTAACCCTAAACCTAAGCATTACCAGTACGTACCTGACCCTAAACCTAAGTATTACCAGTACGTACCTGACCCTAAACCTAAGCATTACCAGTACGTACCTGACCCTAAACCTAAGCATTACCAGTACGTACCTGACCCTAAACCTAAGCATTACCAGTATGTACCTGACCCTAAACCTAACCATTACCAGTACGTACCTGACCCTAAACCTAACCATTACCAGTACGTACCTGACCATAAAACCTAACCATTACCAGTACGTACCTGACCATAAAACCTAACCATTACCAGTACGTACCTGACCCTAAACCTAACCATTACCAGTACGTACCTGACCCTAAACCTAACCATTACCAGTACGTACCTGACCCTAAACCTAACCATTACCAGTACGTACCTGACCCTAAACCTAACCATTACCAGTACGTACCTGACCCTAAACCTAACCATTACCAGTACGTACCTGACCCTAA